TCCGAAGGTGCCATACCAGGGGAGTAATCTGCATGCGGTAAAAGTTCCCAATCCAGTGAGAAAATCACCTCTTTTGCCCCTGTAGCTGTATGCGGGCAGGCGTGTTGTGGAGCAGTATCAACTTGCGTTTGCGTTGTCCAGATAATGGCCTTTTTCTTTCGATGGCGTCATTTAAATTCAAGAGACTGTTGATTGCAGTCTGCAGTCATTGTTTCTCTTGAATTAAGAAATTCATAATTCAGGATTTCCTTTATGTCCCACCATATGCAATCAACTGAAATTCGTCAGAAAGAACTTATTTCTACACCTAATAAATAAATGGTATATAACCATGTTAAAATTTTTTTTAGATAACTGATACTCGAACGAAACTGTGTTGAACTTTAAGGAATTAATGAATTGACAGGAATATCATCATGTTAGTACACATGTGTGTTATGGTTTCTTTCACTCTAAAATGATCATAAAATTATTCATAAGGAAATATGTTATTGCTCGGTGTTGTCAGCGTAGCACGAAATAAAAATTTGAAATGAATAAGCTAAGCAGCATACCACCAGACTTGGACCTGGAGGATCCAAGATTTAGGATCAAACCATATCAACAAATTGTTGCTTCTTGTACTGGTGCTGTTATTACGTCAGTTTTTGGTATGCAAATAAATAGAATAATTATTTTATTTATAGAAATTTAAAAATTATTGAAAAAATATTGTTACACACTTTTTTTGTAGTGACTCCTTTGGATGTGGTCAAAATTAGACTCCAAGCTCAACAGAAGGCTATGCTTTCTAACAAATGTTTTCTTTATTGCAACGGTTTAATGGATCATTTGTGTCCATGTCCAAATGGTAAAGGTCCAGTATGGGTCAGAAGAAATGGAAAATTTAATGGCACAGTGGTACATCTATATTTACTATTTTGTCTTAGTTTAGATATTATATATATATTAATATTAAATATAGTAAAATCTAATTAAGTTATATATCTATTTGTTTGTAGGATGCGTTCTTGAAAATTGGTAGAAATGAAGGTATTCTTTCATTATGGAGTGGTTTAAGTCCTACTCTTGTTCTAGCAGTACCTGCAACTATAGCATATTTTGTTTCATATGAACAGATAAAATTATATATTAAGGTAAAAAAATTCCTTCTTTTAGCTTTTCTCAAGAAATTTCATTTTCTAATACTATTTATATTTTTTAGGATAAGTATAGTAAGAGGTATAGAAATGCTACTGAAGTTACCATGGAGCAGCCATTCTGGATTCCCATGATGGCTGGAGCTATAGCGCGTATTTGGGCTGCAACCTTAGTGAGCCCATTAGAATTAATTAGAACAAAGATGCAGTCTCAAAAATTAAGTTATGCTGGTAATTGATTCTACTTCTAGCTCCTATATTCTGATTTACATTTTTGTACAATGCATACTTTTGCCATCTTTCAGAAATTTTGCAAGCATTGAAAACTGTTGTAAAATATAGCGGAGTCTCTGGTTTGTGGATGGGATTGGGTAGTACCCTTCTAAGAGATGTACCTTTTAGTGCAATTTACTGGCTACATTATGAAACTATAAAGCAAAAATTTCGTGGGGCACAACAGACTTTTACTTTTAATCTTACAGCAGGTGCTATAGCGGGATCTGTAAGTATTTTTTTTTTTAAATTCAGTAAAAAAAATTGAGTTTATGCATATTATTTTTACAGATAGCTGCATTTTTAACAATCCCATTTGATGTAGTAAAAACTCATAAACAAATAGAAATGGGTGAGAAAGAAATTTATTCAGGTATCATAGACGCTTTTATTGTTTACTTTATCTTTCATTTTCATTCTAGTTTTAATATATTTGTATTTTTACATTTACGATAGCCATATCTTAATGTAAGTACTAATTACAGATAAACCTGGACACAGTAGTGGAACTTGGATTGTAATTAGAAAAATTTATAGCCAAAACGGAGTGAGGGGACTATTTACGGGATTAACGCCGCGTATAATAAAAGTAGCGCCAGCGTGCGCGATCATGATCGCGACGTTTGAACACGGGAAACGATTTTTTCAATTGTACAATGCCAACCAAGTACTTCAACACGAAAATGATATATAACTTCTACAACACAAACGCCAGACTACAGAATGACATACATACGAATTATTATATTTAAATAAGACGAATAAATTTTATTTAAAATTTAAATCTGTATGCAGTTCTTTACAAATACTTCGAACTGTATTATAACCTTAAACCATGTGTTCTACATACTGTACATTCATTCTACTTTTTAAGTGTAAAGACGCTATATTTTGTACTACAATATGTTCATCTAACTTGACAATATCAAATTACTCGCAAAAATTAATGAAAGAAAAATTCTGATTTCAAGTTCCAGGTCATTTATAAAACTAATTATCTTACAGTACTAAGTATAGCAGTCGAAAGTTTGAACTCTCGTTGCACATGGCTCAATAACTAATCACTTTAAACTTACAATACCTTAACACTCTTCTTATTCAATAGCTGATCTGTGATATTTTATAAAAACAAAAGTATAGAGCGTTCTATTTAAAAAACTCAGTGACCTACAAAACTTGGTACGTAAACAACGTATAAAAAACACATTGCAATATATGTTCTCCTTAAAATCATGTAACCTCTGCATTGTACATTCTTTTATGCAGCAAATAAGTTACAAAGAATTATCAAAAATTTTAGTTAACATATAAGTGAGAAACTATACTTACATTATCGACTATCGATACTGACTCTATAACGCTAACCTTTAAGCTTACTTCATACTATCTATCCGCGGCAACTTCACATCAAAGTAAATCACCAGCATTGAATCAGAGTCAAATCAAAACCTGTATTAGTCGATATTCTAAATCGTCGATGCTCTCATTCCAATCATTTGCAAACGAACTTTTCCTACAGAAAATGTTAATAAAAAGAGATACAATTTTTGGTGTAGAATAGTATTAGATATAAATAACGATAAATTTCCGGAAATGCTTAACAGCAAAACGTATCCTCAGTCACTGCAGACGAAACGCCGTTCGGCTAAATTCGGTTGGTCGATAAACGTAGTCGGCGAGAATCGGGGCGTTGGAAGTGGCGAATAGGTCATCGCACGGAAGTCGGTTCGTTTCGTTCAGTCAGGATAGGCTGTTCGCGAGGGGTTTGTTCACTAGTCACTCACCAATTCAACATTCCAAAGGCCGGGTCTTCTTACCGCCTCTTCGATTCTACAATTTGGTAAGTGTGACTGTTTGCTCATCGTGAATTCATTTAAAATAAAAGAAAATATCTAAAAGCTTTCGATTATCGTCCATTTAACATCGGTTTTGATTAAAATATTATTGAAAAAAGTAGGTGTTCGAAAATTCTTAGATAATCGAGAGGAAGAAATAGTTAACTATGTCAGCCGACGAGAGATTACGAGAAGTGGCCATTTTGTAATCCATCATCGGCCATTCTTCAGCATTTTCTTCACAATTTTATATTCCTTTTTCGTGATAACAGAAATCGCGGATTTGATATGAGTTAATTTTGACCCCGTATCCCTTCAAGTCTTGTGTGTAACGATTTCATTGGTACGTTACGTAATCCTGCGCTACGAACTACCGCTTCGTGGCCAGTGGTACGCTGCCGTTCGCCGGGTTAGCACGCGTTTTTCGTGTACTTGCATTTAAATTCAGATATATCATTTCAGATACTCGTTTCAGCGACCACACTTCAAACGTCACTATGTACGCCTGTACTAGATTCATTGCACCTATCGCCAGGTCGACCGTGAGTAGAATTTCTTTCCGATTTTCGTTGTTATTATATAATCATCAATAATTTCATCTGTTCACTTCTTAGTTGGTCTCTGGAACCAAGAACTACATCCGGCCGCTGAGCAGCGCCGTGGTAACCCACAGCCAGCCCATACAGCAAAACCAGCTCCAGAGCTCAGTTAGTGCTGTAAGTAATTCTGCTGTTTTCCTATTTCCATTGCATAACCTCTCCTCGTTTCAAGATTACATAAGCGGTTTTATTTTCATAATATGAAGTTCTTTGGTAAAAATCAAGGGTTCTTGAATTAAGTTGCTGGCTAATGGTAATTAAGCCAGATTTTGGCATGTGTCTCTATGAGAAGTTACAATTTTAACTTATCTCGCAAAGAACATGCATTTTGATTAGAGTAGAATACAATCATAGAGTGAATTCTTAAGATCAATTATTCAAAATAATATAAGGTATAATAGTGAGTAACTTCTTCTTTGAAATTTGATTTTTTAAATCAGGTATTAGTTGAACATTTTCCTTTGAAGTTTAAGTGAAGATGATGCGATGATGCAATGATTTAAAAGAAATAAAAATTTAATGATATTTTCTATTAATAAAATTAAATTTGGTAATTGAGAACATGTAATGTAATAGTAATGTCTCCATTACCAATTTGATTTTACATCAAGCCATATGTATGAGAAGGCATAGAATGCTCCTTTTAATTCAAGAGGAAAACTTAAGTTCACTTTATTATGTTAAAATATTGATCAGACATGCAGATTTAATGGAGACAAAGATTATATAAGTCTTACTGCTTGGTACATAGAAGTAGCCTGATTTTATGTAATGTAACACTGACACATTAGATTTTTAATTTCTTTCAAAACTTTCAAATATTTTAAACCTTCTCTGACATACTGAGAAAATAATTTGTGCTTGAATAATTATTTTTTAGTCTTCTTTGGTGCAGTCTTCACTTGTACGTAATTTCCAAACCTCCACAATCAGTCGTGACATTGATTCTGCTGCAAAGTTTATTGGTGCTGGTGCAGCTACTGTTGGTGTTGCTGGATCAGGTGTGTATATAATTCTCATATTTACTTTTTATTTTATATTTAACAAATAAATAAACTTTCATTATCATCATGGAAACTCCCGTTTCTGTTTTATTATTCCACTTTTCTCGTTTAAGGTAAAGAAAAAATTAAATTTATGTTTCAGGGGTTGGTATTGGAGTGGTTTTTGCTTCCCTAATACTTAGTTATGCTAGAAACCCATCCCTAAAGCAGCAACTTTTTAGTTATGCTATCCTTGGTTTTGCACTATCAGAAGCAATGGGTCTCTTTTGTCTAATGATAGCATTTATCATATTATTTGCTTCTTAATCCTAGTTCCTTCCAAGTCAATCTTCCTGTCACAGTAAAGTTATAACACAAATTCCATTTGAGTCAGTTTTCTATGAAAATAATTGTGCATCAAGCTTGAAAAATGATACTGTGATTTCAGGTGCTGGAATTGGATCGGTGTTTGGTTCTTTAATTATTGGCTATGCCAGGAATCCCTCTCTCAAACAGCAGTTGTTCTCATATGCCATCTTGGGCTTTGCCCTGTCCGAGGCCATGGGTCTCTTCTGTCTTATGATGGCTTTCTTGCTCTTGTTCGCGTTCTAAGTCACCAAAATCGCATGAAAACACAATACTGCTAGTTTTAGTGCGTCACTGTCAAAGCAACGTCTTCTGATTCTCGTAAGAGAAGAAGCAGAAGCTGTCTTTGGCACACGGGATGCCATGAAATCATTAGAGATGTTCGAGTATCCGGTTCTCGACGGGGTATGCAACGGTATGACAATGAACTGAAATGGCGGCTGTACACGTGTATGTTGGATCATCGATCGAACCGTCCTTAACCCCTTCTGGGCCTTTCGACTAATTTGTAATCATTTCATGGTTTACTGTATCATGTAGCGTAAAAAGCCACTCACATTATACAATAATGGATTTCAGTGTAATGAAAACCTGAATAAGAACGTTAACGAAAGTTTATTAAAGAAAATGTTAAAAAGAACATGATAGCCTCGCCTGTAAAACCCATACTATTATATATGCGTACGTATATCTATCACCTTATTCAATGTATCAAGACGTAAGGAATAGTACATGTCGAACATTTTTGTTACCCGAAATGGTTCATCATTGTTGTGCCATCGCCTGCGCACGTTGTTGAGGTAACTTGACGAAGAAAATTGTACAGTAATATCGAATAAACACTTTTGTCGTGAAATTATTATTGAATCTATGAATGATTCTTTTTGAATAACCTTCTCCTTAGATCATAAATAAAAATGCACTCTAAAGCATTCCTTCTGACAAAGATTAATCCTCAGAACGATAATTTAAGATGTCTTTAGTTTAATGATTAATAATGATTAAACGTGCGTATGATATGAACTGTATATTTATTGGTTACGAAACATAAGTTCAGTAACAACCATAGATTAAGTATGTAAACATAGGCCGAAAGTATGTACTCTAGATATATCATTTGAATTTAATTCTTGTAACAGTTATATAGATAGAATTAAGCAATTCTAATAAATTATATTGCAGGTTTTATACATTACATATGCGTGTGTGTAAAAATTGAATTTGAAAATTTAGAAATTTGTGTGGAATCTTTTATATTATTTCATAAATCTTTCTGTGATTTTTCTTTCTATTGATAAAATTCACAATTGCAACAATAAACAAACTTTCAGTTTTCAAATTGTTGAAGTAGAAATTTTTATATATTGATAGCAATGGAAATATTTCGATTATAAAATATTTAAGTTGAATACTATTTATTATTTAACATGTTGCAACTATTCAAGAATAGAATTTTTGTTTACACAAATATAAAATTGTGTAAATGTATCATGAAACGAATCATTTTTAATACGTTACAACGAAATGTAATACGCTATGAAATTTTTAAATGAACTATACACTGTTTAATTTAAAAATTAGATCGATATTATTAAATTTTTATACATAATTTTATCACGATATTGTACAACAGAGTAAAAAATTCCTTTTAATTTGTAGTAGTGCCGAAATTTATAGGTTCTCCTACATTGTTGTGTGGTAACATGTTCAGCTGATCTAAGAGATTCTCCCTCTCTCGAAGACACGCCCACGCTTTCTCTTGTTCTTTCTTTGTCAAGGGTACCTTTCTTTGTTTCGCTAGCATAAGTTTTTTGTAGTGTTCTATTACTTCGTTATCCGCTGTGTTTATTTTCCTTTTCAACGCTTGTCGTTTACTTTCTTCTTGGGCTAAATTTAATAATCTCTTTAACTGTGTCACATTGTGATTAGAAAGTGCACTGAGCTCCTGCTGACACCTTTTTATTTCAGTCAAAATTTCATCGTCTTCTTGACTCTTTTTTTGTGCATCCGGTTCTAAGAGTCCCTGTTCAACAAGTTCTTTGTGCATCCTTAATTCTAAATTAATCGAGTTCTGAATAGTGAGGTCCCTTAAAACAGGAGGATCACTATCCCTGAAGAGTTTATTATCTGTATTATTATTTGCAACATATACATTTTCCTCTAGTAAAGCAGAAACTAATCTTTGAGTCAGAGGTCCTGCTATACTATGAGTTTTTTTATCATTTTTTCCTACTAACAGAGACACATCTGAACGACTCTTTTTTTTGTCCCTGTTTGGATTGGCTGCATCTTCCTCTTGCAACAAATCATTATGTGCCCACATTAAACTGTAGTGGCGACCCAGTGAAGGAATTTTTTTAAAGTCACTAATATCACTATGCGTAGAAATTAATTCTTCTAATAGCTTAATATCATCGGGCATAATGTCCGTACAATAAGGATCCACAGATGCCCAAAATTTATTAGGTGTATCATTTTTTGGTAAGAGTAACTTTGGTGATTCAGATTTGGAACCTTCAATTCTTGCAATTTCATGTACATTTGGAATGACCTGAGAATTCGAGCTAGCAACAGCCTTCTGTTTGAAAAGTTTTGCTGGTAGAGGAGATTGTGTTTTAGTATTAAGCTCTTTTGGCTTAAACTTCTCTTCTTTAACTTTCTTATCCAGTAGTGAAAGACCTTTACCACTTTTGGATCTTTTGTCCCTGCGTTCCTCTGCAGAAGATAAATTAGCTATCTCCTCTTGGAGCATACGGTGTCTTACAACTACAGATGAGAGAAGCATTTCTAATTCTAACTGTAAAGTGTCAAGGTCTTCCATTCCCACTCCTTCGTCTGCACTTCGTTGCAGGATACTACTGTACCTTGGAAGAAGACGGCCATTATCAACAATTTTTAAAATAGGTAGAGACATTGTGGTCTCTGTGCTCTCTGAACTTGTATCAGAATTAAGTGCAGAAGACTGTACAGTCTTCCCACTTTCTCGAACTTTGACAACAGCCTTTTTAGAACTTTGTTTCCCTTTACCCGACATAATTGTGAGCTTTACAGTATACTGGTCTCCTTAAAAAGTTACAACTATAATTCTACTAAGAAACATTCATCTTTAAAGAGTTTCATTGCAGTGATGAGTCATTTTTCTCTTCTTTTGGTAACATAACCTTTTCTTCTTGAATTAATCCTTGCATTTAACGCATCGTAAGTGCCTACGTACTCTACATGAAGAACCTTATTCCTTTTAAGTTGAAATATTCCAATTTGATGTTGTTAAACACGTAGCACTTTAAAGTGTCGTAAAATGTTAGGTTATATGACATCCACAAGTTGCACATACGTTAAAAGCTCCGATCAGCTGGCAGGATAATGTGTAAAATATATATTCAACGTCACCCAATTACGATTCATACAGCAACAGTGAGTCTGCTTTCAAGAATTTAATAAAAATAATATCTTTATTTGTTACTTTGTGTTTAACAAACCGATACAACAAGGGTTAGTTGACTCGTCATACGATCATTCTTTACCACACAGCAGCACTATCGCAAGCGCAAGTGTTCTATTTAGATGCCGTGAAGCATGGCGAGACATAATACGTGTGTAAAAATATGCAAATTATTTCAACATAAAACCTAATATCTTTCTTTCTCTCTTTAATTTGGCAGTTAACTGTAAACATAAACATCCATAGTATTTTGATAATGTCATTTCGTTGGTGATTATAATCTGCTCCGTTAGATGGCTCGATGCTTAAATTTTTGAGCACACATTAGATTTCATGTTCACGTGTTTATATCACTTTGTAAATTACGCAGTCATATTTGTAACACAATATGCTCTGAAGTGATCACATAAATCCTAATTATCATCGATCATTAAATCACGGTTTATCATAATGATCGTATCCCTCATTTATCGCATGAAATGATAACAAACATTTTACTTGGTTCTAATTTCTGACCAATTTTTTCTACACGTTTTTAATAGCTTTATAATTTACATGTGCAATTGTCATGGAACATAGGTCGTTGTATGGATAATGAAAAAGTGGACGGCACTGTTTAGGTAGAGAAATCGAAAATGGCCGAGAAAGGAGCGCATTTAACAGGAACGACATTCACGAGACCTTCAATTTTCGAGATTATAGCACAAGAATCATTTGCGTCCACTGTTGAACCGGCTTTTAAAAAATTTTTTTCGGTAGGTTACATATATATATTTCACTGATCCATAGAAATATAATATAATGGAATATTTTTTATTTTTATGTATTTAAATTGTTAATAAAATATACTCTAAGTTGTCACCAAATTATAGTCAATAATTTCACTTGAAATCGATAGTGAACGTTGCGTTTCGAAATCTGATCAACAAATTTAAATTTGATCGACAATAGATTAAATTGACAATAATTAGTTAATATACATTAGTTTAGAAATTTTCATATTATAAATTTATCCTTCATATGTTTAAATATGAATTTTAGTATATTATATCATTCAACATTGAAAGATATGGACATCTTCTTAGATGGGCAGATGAAGTCTATTTGATTTTCAATGCAATTCTTCAACAATATTATTTTAATAAATATTGTACGTGATTCTTTATATAAAATATCTAAATCGCAGTATTTCTTGTCTGTATATTAATAAAAATGTATCTCTTTTTTAGCTGCATCATTTTCTGAAGCATTCTATAGCTTAAAATGTATATCTGTAGTAAATTCCAAAGTTAAACACAAGCTATCAAAGGAACAGAAAAAGTTGTCTATAATATTAATAGTTTTATTTCCTTACATAAAGAATAAACTTTCCCAGTTAAGTCAACAATACAAACGTGAAGAGGTAGATGGTTATGCTCCAAAATCAGTAAGTATTGGTACGATATACTGTACATTTTTTTTCTTAAATAATATTAAGATTTATTTTTTCTTCACAGAAATTTGAGAAATTATATCATACTTGTGTTACTAAAGGAAGTACAATAATTTTCATGGTATATGAATTTATGGTACTATATAATTATGTACTTTATGTTTCTGGGAAATCAGTATATACCTCGCCACTTTTGAGATTGTTATCTGTTACTTTAACATATGCAGAACCACAGCCTATAGTTAGTGTTTCGGATTTGTTAAGAAAAATTAAACACAATTCCTTTGGTATTAATGATGGCATACATATATTTCAACGAATGGTAACTACATCCCTTGAATTTGGAGCATTTTTCCTTCAGTTCTTGTCATGGTGGACTCAAGAACATTATTCAATAAATCTATTGTCATTACCTATTCCACCACCTCCAAAGGTAAAGGAATAATAAACAACTATTTGTGCTCATCTAAAATTTTCAAACAGAAATATATAAAATATTCTTTTTTATTTATCATAGATTCCAGAAACAGCAAAGCAATACAAAGGCACATGTCCAATTTGTCATAAAGCACTCAGAGTACATACGGTACTTTCGGTATCTGGGTACGCATGTTACAAAAAATAGCATTACAAAAATAAGAAGTTTCAATTCAGCTATAACTCATAAATATTCAATTCTTTACAGTTATGCATTCTGTTATCAATGCATTCTTCCTGTGATACGTAAAGATGGAAAGTGTCCAGTGACAAACTATCCTGCTAAGGAAGATGATTTAATACGTTTATATTTAGAGTAAAATAATAATGTGCATATTTTATTGTACAAGTTGTATGTGTAAATAAAAGGAGAAAGTTTCTATTTTTAAATTTTCTTTCAATGAAACGTAATTTTTAGTATTGATCTGAATTTCACGAAAGAAAACATGGCATGAAATACACTAATTAAAACAAGCAATTGTAAATAACATTTACAGGTACATTCCTCTATGTTACAAAAAAAAATACTGATTTTTAGCCGAAGGTTTTTTCGATTAGTATCCAATACACTCGCATGTAAGCGAATCACAGACAATGGCGCCAGAAGTTCTACTCTATCGATTTCGATTGAACATTCACACCAGACTTTTGGTAAAAATATCTTATATAATGTAATATAATATTCAATACTGAATACCAGACGTTCAACATTCTATTATAGAATCTAAAAATAAGAATGAATTCGTAAAGTAAATGAACAATATCTAAAAGAACTAATCATTTGTATTTATTATTCCTGTACTTCCATATTGTTAAGTAATCAGTGTTCGAGTAGTGACTATATAAACATATTAATAATGCAAAAGGCATCCTTTGACAATTTCATGTTTTTCAAATACAGAGCTTTCCAAACATGGAAATCTTCTCTCATGTGTTTGTTAATATATATTTGAAGCATTTGTAGAAAATTGTGGAACGTTTTAAATATAAAATGAAAAGATTTCAATTTTCTCTTAGCTGTTACATTTTACATAAAGCTTTAATTCATCAGTAACATATTTATTTTATTATAGGTTAATGAAGGAAATTCTGGGAAAATAGGATCATAAAATGTATACAATATTCAGTATAAAAATTAGAATATTTTTTTTTTAAAGTACCATATGGAATTATCTTTTTGCTAATATCCAATGATATGTTACGTTTTAAGATACTTGGAAAGCCCTACTTACTCAAGTAAGAATACTTGAACACTGACTTCTCTACTTACGTTGATAGGAACATTTCTTTCAGAGGCCATAATTAATGCACAAAAATTCTAATGCTCTAGTCTAATCAAACTAACTATGCATAGTATTGTGTTAGTTATGTTTGATGGCATAAGAATCGATAAAAATGATCTGCTTTACACTTACATATAGATAATCTGAAAAAATGTGGCTATGTATATACTCGTACATTGGTCGAATTTTTACATTCGTCTTGTTTTTTTTTTTATATACAGACCTATTATATTAAAATTATTCATGTAATATTAAAATTACTTTGTGTAAACTGTTACAAAGTTAATATCTTGAAATATCTCATTTAAATATGAACAATCCTTCACTACAGGGTTAAAAGTCTATTACATTTGTAACCATAAAGAACTCTTATTCCATATATGTAAAAACTACATAACAGAAAATTTTTTATTTAGCAAAATTAAACCTTTACAGTCTGACCGATGCATGAGTACATTATTATTTACCATTATCAGACTTTTATAATTATATTTCATATTGTATTAAAATTCATTTACAGTCCATATTTCAATAATTTCAAACTTTTTGATTTGACATTAGTGGCAGTTACATTTCAGACTATATGATCAATTAAGTGGATTTTTAGAGTTACAGTTTAATAGCGATCGAACATGAAAATTTTTTGACTTTTTAATTAACTGCCTTTTGTACTTTTACCAATGGAGATTCTGGTCGTCAGCCAGATTAATTTTACAAAAATTGTTTGACTAGACTGCAGCTTTAATATGGTTCTTTCTTTCTCAATAATTCTCCCTTCCTAATCATGCAATGCAAAAGATGCAGGACACAATTTTTATAGGCACATTCAATCACTTCAAGTTTAAGAGTATTGACATATAAAACAGCAATAGTACCTAAGCATGCATTATAATGTTACTAGTTCCCTATAACTGGAACATTATTGTAATTCAATTGTATCAAAACTTGTCAAAGCAGTAAGAGATACATGCTTCTCTTTTGCTTATCTCTATTGCTTACTACTTGATCATTAATATTTAATGATTTTACTTGTAATTTTGATTTCTGTGCATGTACTTTACATAAGAATCTTACTAAGTTGTTTAAAGTTAGCACGATAAAATGGATAAAGATAAATGAGATGGAGACAAACATAAGTTTTTAAGTAAGGGGACAATTTTTACTGCAGTTATCATTCAATAGTAGCACATATGTATGTTCTACTATAAACACTAGCGTGCAAATTGAATTGTTACTTTGCATACAACAAAGCGTACGTTTCCGTATTCTATAACGTATACATATACGTACGTGTCTACATGATTCAGAAATTTCATACCCAATCGCATATCCATTTCCGCTTCTGCCCATTTAAATGTCCGTCAATGTTTCAATATCTTAAGAATACACCAACTATAATTCTTCGAAGAATGCAACTCTGGCCTTAGTGGATCCAGACTTCACTTTTTTTAATGTACTATACTTGTTCTCACCAAGTCGCACTTGTTCTTCGTGTAATTGATCTAACTCGCACTGTTTTTCCCCGACCTTCATAACCTCTATTTCCGTACGCAGTTCTCTCAACTGTTCTTGCAGGTGTTTGCTTTTCTCCCAGTAATCTACTCTTTCTTTCTCAATTTCTAACGAGAGCTGATCCACATCTCCATCAGCGATTAGATCATAAGAGGTTAGGTCAGCTGGTAGAGGTTCTGTGTCTAATTGCAGTGTCTGAAGATCCGCTTGTAAATCCGAGGGAAGTACTTGTGTCGATGGAAACAGATTTGGCACAGGCTATGAAAAAAAATAAGAATATTAACTTCACGTAATTCTACTGTTATATATCTTACAGTCCGGATATTTACAGCGATGG